AGTATCAGTGTGGGTGTAGTGTGTGTGCATGCATGTGTGTGAGTCTATATGTATGTCTATATGAGCACATGACTCTCTGTGCCAGTTTTTCTTAGCCTGATTCTCAACCAGCTGTCTGACTCTATCTCATATCTTGAAAACCCCTGAGGCATGATGTTCTCAGAAAAATAATTTAAGATTGCAATCACAAATGCAACTTTCTGGAAATAAGTTGTATTGGTATCAGTTGGATTTTCTTCCAAGTAAATATGCTTTGGGACTAAAGTGTCAGTGGTCATTTTGTAAAAGAATGTCAAAACATTTTTTTAAAAAAGTAGCTACAAAGTTGAAATCCCTTTTGTTATTGATTGTAGTAACTAATTCACAGTTATTACAACTGATATGTCTGCACTACTTATTGTAATATTTATATGTACATTAATAAGACAATATGTTATGTCTTTAAAACACTGGGCTCAAGTAAACCATACATTATGTGTGAATAGATATAGATGTTCTATTAATTTGGGATGTTATTAGCCACTATGAAATAATAATAATAATAATAATAATAATAATAATAATAATAATGGCGCTGACAAGATCACCATTGGTCATCTGCAGAAAGCCACTTTACTGGGATCTGCTCGCATAATCCGCCGATACATCATGCAGTCCTAAACACTTGGGAAGTGTTCGACTCGTGATTTGAGATACGAAATCCAGCATGGTTATCTTGTTTGCTATCACGTTTGTGAATAATAATAATAATAATAATAATAATAATAATAATAATAATAATAATAGAAAGATAAAGGTTTGCAGTAATGGCAAATATTTGTAGCTTAGGTGTAAGATGAGGGTAAAGGGTCATTTCCTGAGCTTGTGGGTTGGTTTCCGAATGTTTCGTTACCAGGCTAGGTAACATTTAGGGAAAATTCCCTAAGTTCCAATGAAGATATTACCTAGCCTGATAATGAAACATCCAGAAACCAACCCACAAGCTCAGAGAACGAACCTCTACCCTCAAAGATAAAGGCACTGGACTGGTCTACTAGTGCCAGCTCATACTCATTTGTGAGAGTTGATTGTTACATTTTTAGGACTTTTGAAAGTGAGTTCTTAAACATAGTCATTATATTAAAAATTAATAATAAAAACCCCTGCCCTTGTTTTACACTTCTCAAACAAACCTCCTTCAAGGCTTGTCAGGCATCAGTAGGCAAGTGAAACGGGGAAGGCATACATGCACACAGACAAAAGCATACAACACCACATGAACCTGTTACAATGTCAGTGAAGCTTAAGAAAAGCAGGGAATGGTCTTCATAATGAAAGGCGAAGCTATTGTAGTTCCAATTGTTATTAACTCTTTTCAGTACTCTGTGATCGGCTCTTACGCCACACGGCTAAACTGAGCGGGGCCTGGCTCTTTTCTGAAATTAGAATTGCTGCCTGCATGTAGAAAATGTTTTTAAAGTAATCCTTGAATGTTGGATTTTTAATCAGTGGAGTTTGAGTTGGGTGTCTTTTGTCTGATGGCCAATTTTTAAGAACTCTTTTCAGCTTGGCATATTTGCTTAGGTTTCTCTGCAATTTTGAGGCTCCAGTAACATATGTGCTTGACTAGAACTAAATTCAGAAATCAGCATGTGGAGATTTACAGAGTACAAAGGTTTATGTGCCAAGGATTAGAAGCATAACTGTTAGATAAGTCAAATAAAAGTTTTGCAGTCAGTGGTATACAATTCCTAGGATAAATCTTTTAATTAACATAAGTGCATTATTAAAATATTTCCCCCATAAACTGTAGAAAATGGGGGAATCAGGGACAGCTCCTTACAAAATATTTAGGAGGACGAAAATCAGTGTGCATTATGAAGGGCTTTTCAAATTGAGTTCTATATACTAAGAGATTTGAATGGATTCTGAGGAACTAAGGGGAAAAATAACTTCAAACCATTCAGCCATCTGCTTCTGTCTTGATAGCTACTCTTTTTCTCTTGCTCGCAAGCAGCAAACATTTGCAAGCAGTCCATGCAGGAGGTGAATGGCTGCCTTTTCTTTGTCACATGCAAACACACGAAAGCTGACTCTTTGCTTGCCCTCAAGCTCTAACAACATTTCTAACCGTGCAACAACTATCAAAGTGTGTGTCTTCCTCCCTCTTTAGTTTCTACATTTCTTGAATGTATGCATATATTGTACATGTCCCCCAGAGGTATGCTTAATAATCATGGCAGCATCCTCTGCACATCTACTTAGACCTAAGTCCCATTGATCTGGATGGGAATTAATAAAGAAATGTCAGATTGCATTGCTTGGCTGCTGTACATGTATGCCTCAAATCCCTTCAGAGTGGGATATCCACCAGTTCAGAGAATCAGATTTGCAAAGGCAGACAAACAGACAGAAAATAGGTGCCTTTGCCAAGCACTCATAATGGTGAAAAAAAAATCCAATTTTAATTTCACTATGTTAATCCATTACTATTGTCTATATTATTATGCTGTATGACATGTTATGTGCAACTGTCCATTGACATGTCTAAGAAAGGGATTATTCTAAGTGATATCCCAAATTGTGACTTTCCTGCATAATTTTTCAACTTCACAATATAAAATTGTCATGCCCATCCTGGAGATCTCTTTCTCAGCATATGCATATTGTGTTTGTTTTGCTTTTTTGATTAGACTTAATAAATATTTATGTATGTGAATATTTTTTCAGACATGGAACATTGGCTACAAACTGGTACAATTGCATACCATATTGAAGCAGGTGAAAACAGAAAAAGGGAAACAAATTGCAGTGCTGTAATTGGAAGATCCATTTTTTTGTGAAATAAATTTTACCATATACATTTGCATAAATAAATTCCAAGTAGTGCAAGTTTTATTTTACTGCCAATTTGCCATCTCTACTACTTTGTCTCTTCATTGGGATTTTTTTTTAAAAAAACCTTTAAAAAGTTAAATAAAAAACTTAACAGATTCCATGGTTAGAACAAGTTTAAAATGACTTCTATAAGTTATAGATATTCTAAAAGAGCAACTATAAATGTTGTGAATAAACTACAAAATGGCAGACTAATTAAATATATTTAAGGATACAAATAAGTAATTTACAGTGACATACTTTAATACAATTAATACTAAAGTAACAAAGAGCCCTACAGAAATCAATTTAGATAGTTATTTTGTTTTTTTTTTGTCACAGTTTAAATATAAATTCATTCCGTTGTTATTCAAACTACTATTTTTCCTTCATTTTAAGATTATACTCAATGTTTTAGTTATGAGACCAATTAAAAGTCTCCGAACAGACTAACATTTAATATTTTTCAGTCATTTTCTGACGTGCCATCTGAACTCTTCAGCCCATTAATCCCCCCCCACACACACACATTTTCTCCTGGCAAAAGTGACTGATGACCTCATTCTCCAAGGTTATCTCTTTGATTGTCTACACATATTCAGCAGTCTTACATCAATGCTGAGAGTATTGCATTGCCCTTTGATTAGTTCCCAGGTCCAATTCAAGATACTGGTTATTGCCTTAAAAGCCATTTATGATTTGCATCCGTGTTGGACCGAGTTTCCCCGTCACATATGGCTGCCCCATGTGATCAGAAGGAAGAGTATTCAGAGCCTCTCTATTCCATGAGAGGTGAGGGGGATTGAGTGTCAGCCCTTTGAGGTACTCCAGGCAAGAAGTATAAACCATAAGAACTAGCACTACTTTTAGTAGTGCTACATTATATGTTTATAATGGTTACAGTAACAGACCCTTGCAAGCCTGAAAGCACTTCTCCCCTCCTTTATTTTTACTTCCCAGAAAACTAGGGAGGTTCCTTTCTCAGGTGCTTCCCATGCCCCTTTTCCTTCTCTGGGCTAAAATACCTTTTGCATACCCTGTTTTCCCCAAAATAAGACATCCCCTGATAATAAACCCAATTGTGCTTTTGAGCACATGGCAATAAGATCAAGCACTTATTTCAGGGTTCAAAAAAATATAAGACAGGGTCTTATTTTTGGGGGAAACATGGTAGTAGTTGTCTAGGCTGCAGCTCTTCCTCCTGTCTCCCATGGTCATTCCCATAAACCATCGTACTGAGGAACAAGGTGTCAGATGCCAGGGAAATCAGAAGATCCAGGCAATTCAAATGGTTATAAAAATTTATTGCAAGCTTAAGCTCTCTGCAAAAATCTGAACTACTAATGGCCAGAGCAAATTGGAGGTAGATAAGAGTCAAATGAATTCAAGGTGGGTTGGGCTTAGATCTCTTGTGAGTCCGAAGGGACTCCTGACTGATGACGCGTTTGACCCTTCTCTCGGGCTCAGTCTGGTCATCTCCTACATAAGGATGCACCATCTCATTGATGGCCCCCACTCTCTAGAATACCCTGTCATATTAGGAATACCCCCAACCTCTATACTTTTAAGAAAGTTTTAAAAAGTTTGCTATTCCAGTAAATTCGTATGGTATAAAATTTATCTGAGTTAGCTAGGTTCAATTATGTTTTAATTCTTCTGTAAACTACCTTGACACTTTTGATGCAATGGGCAGTCTGTAAAAATTGTATAAACAAACTACAAATTCTTAACTTTCTTGCATTAATATAATACTTCTGTCAGACTTATTTTTCCATTGGCATGTAGATGACAAGGCTAAAATATAATTCCATAAAGCCAATTTCTTTAAGAGAACCATCTCACCCATTTTTATCAATTAACTAAAGTGAAAACAAAACTTAGCCAAAAAGGTTCTAAACTTTTACAAAGTAATCAACCAGATACTGTAATAATCTTATAAAAGTAAAATCCTATTTATTAGTTTATCAAGTACTGTATCTTAACCAGCGATACTGCTCGAACAACAGTTTACTGCAGACATTCATTCAATTCATTCAATGCTATAAAATAAGAGTTGCCTCAAACTGTAAGATGAGTAGCATATAAATATAGTAAAGTAATAAATAAGATGATTAAGAGGAAATACTGTAGAATGTCTCACTTACCTTTGGCAATTCTACAGTCATAGGAGCTGTAGCCTTCAAAACATTGACAGCCCCTTATAGTGCACTGTCCATGGCCATTACAGAGATTGGGACATCTCAGTGCTGTAATAATTTTGTGATGGATAGCAGGTATCTCATATGTCGAATGAAAAGATTCAGTTACATTTTCTAAAAGGACCTTCTTTTCACAGACATTTTCCAAAAACGGAATAAGCAATTCCCCCCATTTGAGATCATCTTTAATGTGTACATCTGAAAGACACATTTCAATGGCCACGTCGAATTGGATGCCAAGAAACCCTTTGCAAGCTGAGCCTATGGCGGAATTTTCAAGCAATGTCTTGCAATGTGTTAAGACTTCAGGTGAGGTCAGGCCACTTGGAGTTGGCCACGTAATCTGAACTGTAGGCCACTTCCCTTCAAAATAATCTTCTGGGAAAAAATATGAAAAACTTTCCAAGTCAGTTGGACTTTGGAAAGAGGAAATAGGTGAGTATTCCGAAGACCCTTGCCTTTTTCCTCTTTGGAGATCTTCCCAATGATTAGAGATACTAGTAGCACTTTGCTCATCATTTAATAAAGGATCTGTTTCAAGGTGAATGACATAATCTGATGTGACATCTAGATATGGAATTACTGAAGTGTAATAAATTTTCTCATCATGGCAATCCAAAGATTGTGGGGCAGGATTCCAAAAAGTATGCAGAGAATTTAAAGGTTGCAAGTAGGGTTCAGGCTTCTTTTGACATAAGCAGAAACGTTCTGTCTTCTGCCATTTCGAGGAGGACGGAATGTGGTCGAACAAGCTCATCCCCGGAGCTATCCTGATAAAATACAATAACAGTTAAAACAGTTAAGATGTCAGACACCTCACTCTGATACAAATTCTTAGGTGTTTTTAAATAAATTAAGATGTACAACAATATGCTGAACTACAAACAATAGGAATATAAACCCTAAGCCTAACACTAGCAACAAGAGATTATTATTTTTAATGGCTAACAGCCTCTGACTGCTTTGCCCAGCCTCTAATCTGCCAAGCAAATTCTGTTTAGGTACGTTATGCCAAAGACTGATGGAGGCTTCCATTGCAACCATTGGTCTTTGGAACCCTCAAGTAAGTTACCCAGACATAATCCATACATCAAAGAAGAAGGTCTGTAAACACAAATAGACTTAATTGAAACTGTCTCTCAGCAGAACCATATGCTCACCAGAATAAATATCACTGCTGACACCTACACATGCCCATGCCCCTCAAATGTCACACTGTAGAACCAGCACATACAGACACTCACACCCCTCAAGACCCACACCAAGGACAAGCTTCCCTATAAAATCTCCCCTTTGTACCTCATTTTCTCTGTAGCTATCCCCACAAGCAAACCTCTTTTCTTTTGGGAATAAATAAATCTCTTTTCCTCACAGAGTGCCTAGATTTCATTTTGATTCGTTCTTGTGCAACCCTCGAGTTGCAACCCCAAATTATTCTTCTGACACCTTGCTGAATCAGCAAATGGACTGTAGGGATTCAGAACTGTCAGGAGCGCCTACAAGTTATTGTCTATACTTTAAGATTACTAGGAGAGGCCCTTCTGCATATTTTTACACCATCAGAAGTGACAGCAAGTAAATGGCATGCATTGCTTTGCTGAAAAACAGCATTAAGAAAGCTATGATGATAAATATCTATTCAAGTGTTATCAGCGTGCAAATCTCTCCTTCCTACACCATAAAGCCAAGTTATATCAGGGAATTGTAGTCTCTCTTCAAATTCCCTTCCTTGTCCTTTAACACCATACATATTTTGTGGACAGTGTATTGAATGGGAAAACTACAAATAAAATGTATAATAAATGGAATGGAATGGGATGGGATGGGATGGGATGGGATGGGATGGGATGGGATGGGATGGATGGAATGGAATGGAATGGAATGGAATGGAATAGGAATAGAATAGAATAGAATAGAATAGAATAGAATAGAATAGAATAGAATAGAATAGAATAGAATTTATATACATATACATAAACATATACATATACATATACATATATTTCCTTCTTTGTCACCATCTAGATAAGACATGTCCAATCTACAGTCGGTCGGCCACCTGTAACTCTGGACAGCTAATGCAGCCCCACAACATCATAAACTTTATTTATAATACACACACACTAAAAAACTACATATTTATACACAGCACAAGGCAACTTCTCTTTACTCAGTGTGAGCCAGGCAAGTCCAAAGGTTAGACATGCCTGATCTACATGTTATTCTTCAGCAAAGGTAGAGGATCCTAGTCAGATAGGTCTTAGCTTCCTTCTGAATTGAGGTAGGATTCCCACTCTCTTTTTCTACAAAGAAAGAGAGGCAGTGAGATTTGGGATGAAAAAGACATGCAGTGCTTTGGTTAAAGTCTGGGAATTTTATATTCACATAGACTTGTGAAACAGAAACAGATATTGCAACAATATGTCTTCCACCTTTTCAGAATGTAAATTCCACTATCATCTAATACAGTTCAACACACACACACACACACACACACACACACACACACACACACACATAAAGAAATGTATGAGATATAGGAAGCACTACTTGCAAGTTATCTGGATGAGAATATTAGTGACTCAAACAAAAAGTATTCCGGGAAAGACATTTGATGACAGACCAATGAAACAAAAAAGAATCCAGAAAAGAAAACATGCAGTTAATTTGATGGACAGCATTTTACATTCTTACCCTGACTGGTAAATATTGATACCTAATTTTGATAACTAAAGACCCAAGGAGGGCTATAAAATGAAGAATGCTGGAATCATAGATTTCTTGCGTTTTAGACAGGCAGATGTCCAGAAAGTGATGAAAATATGATAAAGGACAATGCACAAATATTGGAAGGAAAATTTTATCTATGTCTATCAATCACAGGAAAATATATATTGATAAATATGTTTGATACCTGAATACTTCATGATTTATGATGGCATTTTCTCAAGCATTTGTTAAATACAGGCATGAATTATTGAGTAAACATTAGTAAAAATAAAGTTCATGCTGAAACTACTTTAATGATCCAAAAGTGACAGCCAAATCCTTTAAAAGTTTTAATATATGCAATAATTGATCATGTGTAAGTGTGCCATGATAAATAAACTCGATAATTGTTTGATATGATTTTTGCTAATTAGAACATGTAACAGAATTATGTTTGGGGAGGTGGGCAGAGAGAATGATTTAAAAATATAAAGATTCCAAGAAGACATTAAGCCCTCAGATAAATTTGGTAGTCTACTTCAAAAACATTATATGTGCTTGATAAAATGCTAAACTAGTTGCTTAAAACTGAAAGAGGCATACAATAAGATAGACATCTTCCATCATAGTTCCAAAGTTTATACTGAAGGTTCAAAACAGTGAGTGATATAGTCTGAAGGTCCCCGCTAGTACTTTTGTCAAGGTAGGACAGAGTTCTTGAGCAGATCACCACAAAAACACACTACAGAGTTTATATGGAATCTTTTTTATAATGGCTCATTTTTTTACTGTTACCCTTTGCCACTTAAATCTTACCTCCAAGCTTCTATGAATTTTTCTTCTGTTGTGCTATTTTGGTGAGAAAGTAAGGCGCTCCCATCAGCCTTGTGGAAGTCATTCTGACTATTTCTGTCAAAAGTACCACATAAACCTCTGGTTCTGTTAAAGTCACTACTCGGTGCCCTTACTGTCAAACTCATTCCCCAGTCATTAAGATCAGCTCGAACAAAAGCTCCTGAATGGAACAAGATCTGGAAAAACAGAGAAATCTGATGAATGGAAACATTTTTATGGATGCATTTATTTTCCACCTGAATTTATGTATTTATTTATTTAGAGAATTCATATGGCCGCACAGTTGTTTTCAGTGACTCTGGTCAATATAAAGAATAAAAAACAATATTCCCCCTCCCCTAAATAATTAATAATCTGATTCTTGGGTTTTATTATTTATTTGTCCCTATTCTGACCCTAACAGTAATATTCAAGTCTATAACACATCATTGGTGTGCAGAATTAACTTCAGTTTGCATTGTTTAAGATGCCTAATAGTGAGTGATCGATCAGCTAAACAACGAATACTAGAACTATATCACTATGAGGTTTTAAAAGTCACGCTATTCTTTGATTTCCATTTACACATTTTGTTCTCCATCAGTAATAGTATAGTAAATAAGGGTGATATACATACCGTGATTTTTTTTCCTCCATAGGACTTCATGATTTTGACATTTTGTTGTGATGAGGCTCTGATGTTTTGTATTATCACCTGAGACTTGGTTCCCAGAAATTGCTTGTTGCACATGTCAACAACAACAATATCATTATCTTCCAGTGCAACAACACCACAGTTACAGGCGATGGCAATATGATGGCTGGCACAGTGCCACTGACGTACATGCACCTCAAACAGACGGCTAAGGCTCTTGTACAAGACAAAAGTTCCAACCATGTAGTTATTGTAATGCCTAAGAAATCAAAATGACAACATCAAGAAAGAAGTTACAGAATGGCGTAGTCTGTTTGATTTGCACACTTTTGCTTTTAACAACAAGATTCTTTAATTAATCCAATATGATAGCTGACTTCAGAGGAGACAGAAAACAAACACTTAATGAGGAAACATTTTTTCATAACTATAAGTAACCTAAAACACCACAATGGTGTTATTAACTAGGAATGCATAAGAATTCATATGAGCTGTTCATAGGTGTCTAGACTGGCTGCTTTGACAGCAGACATAGGCAAGGCAGATAAACATTTGACAAAGGTAAATGGGAATATACAGCATCTTCCCCTCTATATCTTAATAAATATACTTTAGTTGTAACTGGGTGCTTTATGGCTTAATATTCTTAAAAGCAAAATCAATGCTCAAACAGTATCTTTGGTGAATAATAACCAACTTTTGTAAGATCTACAATTGCTGAGTGAATATTTCATAGGAAAAAATGGAGCTTCACAGAATCCTATTCATCTAGACAGAGACTCATTCTTCAATCCAACCGTGCTATAAACTATTGTATTTGCAACTGTTGTGTAATGTATAGGAACTAGAAGTTGCAGCTGATGGCAGAACCTGAGGTTGACCCCTTTATTATGAAGTTTTCATGAGGTTTGAAGATAGGTGCTGCCAAAAACTGACAGAAAACTGTGAATGGTGCTACAGAATACCATCCAGAGTTACTATAACAATGGACTGCAATCGTATCTAGAGATGAACTTCACAACAGTGTGTCTTCTTCAAACCTAAAGGGCTACCATATGATAGTGATATACTCATCTTGTCCCTACAAATGAGCTTCAGCCTCCCAGGGTGAAGTGATTTGGTTGTTACTTAGGGCCATATCCCAGTATAGCTGCTATGCTTATACTCAACTATTATTGACAGGTGTTTTTATGAACTGACTTGGCACATGACGAATAAGATTTCATGTTTGTACAAAGAATAATTGAGGCAGAGAAATATTATTTCTTGAGGTGGTTGCAATGTTACCTTAATATACTTGGTTGTAAAGCTCTCTTGCAATTAATGGGACTTTTTGAAATAAATATTCTTTAGATTTTTGTTTGCTAGATTGTTATGGTTTAATCCTATGGATTGCTCTGTTGCCACCAAGGATGAGACAAAAGCACCCAAAGTAAATCCAAATTCATTCTGAGCTATGAAAAAAAAAAGTTCTTATTTCTATCATTCTGAACCAACTTCCATACATATTGTTATTATGATTTTTGTTTTAAAAAAATTTACTTTCAAAATAATTTATTGACTAGTTTCCCCTTGTTTTTTACTAGCATTTTTTTTGGGAGGGGGGATCTTTGGATTCTGAAAAACACTGGGCAAAGGAATATTCATATATCAAAACATCAAATTAATTTAAAATAAAAATCAGCTACTACAGAGAATCTACACAATTTCTGGAAAAAATACTCACCATCCATCAAATGTGATTATGTGTGGATCTGTGAAAGTGTAGCAATAACCTGTAGGGAGGTCTTGAATTGTGACCTAGTTAAAATAAGAAATGGAGTTCATATGGTCTTTGAGGTAGGATTCCAGTATTGCTCTTAATATTGACTCACCATATTTGGGTTGCATTTAATTATAGGTGAATTCAAATCAGATTTAACATAGTACAGATATCTTAGATCGTGGTTATTATTAGAATTTCAATTACTTATTTTTGGAATCTGCATTTAAGAAGTAGTTATGGGGAATATAATGCTATACCTGCCTTCTGGAACAGCATCCCTCTGGAGTTTGCTTTTGACCTCACCATACTAACCTTTAAGGCAGCTGTAAAAACGTGGCACTTCCTGCAGGATAAGGGATTCTAGTCCAAAGATAATATGAGAGATGTTTTTTTACATTGTTACCTCAAGTTGATTGTTTTTTCTAGTTTTTAATTTTGTGAAGTCACAAATAACGTGTGAGTTCCTTTTGCAGTTAGATGGTCTAGGAACTGGATATATAAATGCATAGTTTGAGGAAGTTTGGGAAAGACGAGAAGGAGGAGGAGGAGGAGGAGAAGGAGGAGGAGGATGTAGTGGTGGTGGAGGAGAAGGAATGGGTCAAGAGGAAGGGGAGCTCCAAAAATTATGGATGGATGGAGTTCCATATTAATTAATGAGATCCCAAGATTTAGATGTATTTCCCTTATTTTTTTCTTTCCTCATGCCTTTAATTTCTTACCTTACAATTCTTACCCCTATTTTGCGTTCTGGATAACACTGCTTACCTCAGAAAACAACAGCATGTATGGTATGTATTTTTGTATGTATGTATATATGTATGCATGTACATATATAATCTCAAATAAGATGGAAACTGGGGATAATTAAGAACTCCTTTCAAAGCTTTCTATTTACTGGTAGAACTGAAAACACTCCCTATAAGGATTTCCCCTTTGTCCTGAAAAATCTGGGTGACTTTCTTGATCAGATTTTGAAAGATCAGGATGGGATGGCTGGTGACACAGAACAAACAGAATTCTTTATAGATGACATCCTAAATACTGATTTGCACATTCATTAAGATGAGGCGTTCTGCTCAGGTTATTTTATATCATGATTTATAAAAATATATTCTTTATTCCTGACTAAAACAAATCAAATCCCTGATGAATAACAAAATTGTTCAGTTTGGGTTACAGTCATGAAACGTTCTGCATAACACAAGCAGTAAAGACAGCTATTGATACCAGGCCTACTATTTTCAAATATAATTAATTATTTTGCTACATTTCTTTTGAATTTTATTCAGGTACAAGAAGGACTTTACTTTGATATATTTGAAAATATGGAACAGTTCAAAGGTTCCATTTTTCAGATCCAAATGAATGCTTGAGGACTGAAACATGTGAAATATTTGCAACCCGATCCAATATCATTGAATTCAAGCCGAACAAAATTGAAGCAAATATAAATTACTGAAATCCAACTCTCATATAAGAACTCTTTCTTTCTCAAAAATGGTGCTTTTTCTAACAATGAAGAAGCTGACTTCTGGGGTTATTCAGTACATTTCAAAAATCTCTGTTAGGATTGGTTTATTAATCTTTTAAAAGATTGATTAGTTTCCAAATTTGGAAAGAGCAAAAGAATAATAAAGGTAAACATAAATAAAGATAACTGGGAAGGAGTGCTATGTGTTGTTGTTTTTTTTTACAACAGGCTGTAAAAACCTCTTGGTTGTTGCTTTAACCTACCTTGACATCCATGGGCTTATAATCATGCCACAGAGATTTACTTGGCTGAACTGGCTTGGCTGTGATATAACTGATAAAGTTTCCATTTTCTACAAAGTCATTCACAGCTCTTACAGCAAATGTTGCTCTTGCACAGCTGCTTTCTCTGCAGGGCCTTTGTTCCAGATCCACATGGCATGTTGAAAGGGCTATGTTCGGTGTCCTTTCTAACAAGTTATCTTTAAAAAGCACAAAAACATATTGGATAAATGTATAATGCTGTCCAGAATTTACTCGTTTTATTTTTCTGTTAGATAAATGATGTTGGATGGTCTTCTGTGTGTGATTAAAAATAATTCTTGCTGTACAGTACACAATCATTTTGAAACAGAAACAGACTATTATGTTGGAAAAGAAATAGCAATAAAGACCAAATATATATCTCAGCAATATTAGTTTATCTATTTAAAAATATCTATGTCTACCCCCATGCCAAATAGAGTTCCCAAGGATTCACAATATAGTTTACCCACTAAAATAATAAAGTATTTCAACACATGAAAATGTTAACATTTAAAAATAGGATTGTACAATTTCCTGTGTAAAGGAGATATCTGTTGTGGTCAGCTAGCAGCCTGCGGAACTGGCAGCAGAGTTGGACAGTGAGAAGGCTGGGGAGGAACATGGGCCAGTCCTGGAGTCTGTGGAAGGCCCAGTCTGCGTCGGAGGCAGAATGGGGCCAGGGCCATCTGGGAGTGATGCGTGGAATCCGGAGCCTCCAGAGTCGGACAGCAAAGAGGCAGAGGAACAGGAGGAACCTGTTCCTAGTGCATGCATGCGCAGAACTGCCAGAAGGCAAGAGCAGCTAAAGCAAAAGGGACAACTCAGGAGTAAGGCCAGGAGATGATTGGCCCCTCCCATAAGGTTTAAAGGAGAAACAAAGGCACTTGGGCCTTTTGCAGGAAAGCAGTGTTGCTAACTCTGTTTCCAGTCAGCATCTCTTGTTTGTTTCTGAACTCCATGGGGCTTTGCCAAGTAAGGCCTTTGGCAGGGTGTCAAAGAAGTTATAGGTTGGTGATTATCCCGAAGTACTTCTTCTGAAGGACTAGTTTTGCAACTAATTGGGACTCAGCTGGGAATGAACGTAATTCTCAGCTGTTACAATAAAATAGGTTTTTTTGGGACTAATGACTAGTGTATTGTAATGACTCAGTAATCCTAGGTCACAACAATATCTAGGGCTATATGCCATAATTCTGCACCCATGACTTTTAGCTCCATCCATTGGGTGGATGTCCCAGGAAACAGTGGATTCTTCAGTTGCCTCACTCTTAGAGTAAAAAGAGTGAAAACGTCTCCCAAATCCCTCATTCCAGTCTCTGAGGCTAGTTCTTTCCAGTGTTAAAGGGCAAAAAGAGGCAAATCAAGTGAGAGACACAGATACAAGACCATTTATCTTCAGGCATAGCCACTGAGGACAAACTGTGTGAGTTCTTAAACCTACAGTATGCCTAATATTTATTACATCATAGTAATTAAAGAAAATGGATCTGAGCTATACATTTAGGATCTGAGTTCTAAAACAGAAAATCTATATAGGTATGCTTTATCCATGTGTGTGTGTATATATATTTAATGATTGATAATGAAGTATAGGAAGAAGTTATTTTTTCCAAGCTAAACTAACATAAAGTATCATTAGTAAAGATTTTTGAACCCATTTTTTCTATTTCAATATACATTTCAACCATACCATCTGTAAAACCTAACATAAAGGTTCTATATTAACTGTCATGAATATTAACTTCTAATGTTAATAAAAATGAACAAATAGCTTAATGTACCACATCACTCAATGCTTGATGCATTTTTTCCCTCATCTGTTTGGTATTATAGCTATGAAACATATTTTACTTCTGAAGCATTTTACCACCTCTCTGCTTCTAGATTCATTACAGGTATGGTGACTTCAGGAAAAATGGGGGAAAAATGTGGCAGGTTATATGCTACCTGACATAAAGTACTTACCAGAAATCTGAGTGCTTAACTGTAAAGTAATTTTACAGATGTCATCCTGGGCCAAACATGTAATAGGAATGGTACTTAAGATTGTCAAAATATGTTCCTTTCCATCTTCTGCAATTTGTAACGATTCTGGTACAAACTGGAAATAAAGACAGGTTATCAATCTTAGATTAAGCTCATATCAACCCCTAATCTCTTCTCATGGGAAATGGCTTCTTATTTAAAGACGAACCTTTAATTTTTCTGCCTGGGAAGCAGACCTTTGAGACCATGAAGAGAGGAAGAAGGTGTCATGACTTAAAAAAGTCATGACACCTTACTTTTTCTTAAGTAAAAAAGACAGCCTAGCTAGAAACATACTGGGGGCCCTAGGAGGAATTCTAAGAGCATCCTAAGAGCATCCATTTAAACATACTAAGGTCAGCCTTAGTATCTAAAAAATAAAATAATCTATTCTCAAGTTGATGATCATTTTGCTGAAAAAAGTCTGAAGATGAAATACTTTCTTGAAAAATGTTCTTTTTACCGTATTGTGCTTTTATTCCTTATACTGCCCAGAGTTTTTTTTGGTAGATGGTTAGCTATATAGGTTTCCCAGTGATTTCTCACTGAGGATTGTTTCGTTGCATTGTTAAAGAAAACTTTAGTTTTATTTATGAAAATTAGAAAGACATGAGACAAAAACAAATATAAGACTGGGAAGGACGGGTGGGAAGAAAATTAAAGTAAACTGAACACAATTAAAATTAGCAGACTTTCTCCCAGACAACGCTAATGTATTGGAGTCAAACATATTCCTTGGAATTTTTAAAATAAAATCTATTCCACAGAAACAAATTTTATCTAAAGTCACACACACACACACACACACACACACACACACACACACACACACGTATGTATTTATCCAGTGGTGGGATTCAAATAATTTAACAACCGGTTCTCTGCCCTAATGACTGGCTGGGTGGGAATGGCTGGCTGGGTGTGGCCAGAGTGGGTGTGGCCCGGGGCCATGACAGTACTCAGCCTCTTGCAGCACTCTGCCAGCCAAAACGGGGCGTGGGGGTTAATTACAAAATGTGGGTTTTGCTTTGTGACATCCAGATCCAGGAAGCAAGGAATGTGAACTGCACAGAAAATACTTTTGTTTGGTTATGAAGAAATATCCCCAAAGTCAGATGTACACTAAATGTAGACTGACTTTTAGCTACACACCTTCCCAGCAAACAGCAAATTTTGAAGCTCCAGGTAAAGAGGATTCATTTTAGGATGAGTAACCACAGTTTGCATGTTGGAGCTTCCTAAAGGAATGCTGGGAAATTCTGTATTTTAAAGAACATTTGAGGGACGGGTGCAGAATAGCCTTTCTTTGTCTGAGGCTGTAGAGACCCAGAACCAATCAAAACACTTTTTATGAAGCAACTGATTAACACTGACAGTCACTAGTATATGAAAAGAAGAGCAAACTCCACTCCCTTCTAGTCCTGATGATGTTATCTAGTTTGGTAATGAAACATCTGCAAGAAAACCATCAAGCTCAGAGAGCACCAAGGAACCCACAGTTCAACCTTGAACTACAAATATTATCTTCTATCAATAAACACTTTTTGGTTAGAGGGACTCAGAGCCTGCGTTATATGAAATGGCTCCCAGTGGATTTCATCCTAAATTTTGATATGATTTCTGTAAATAAGGAATGTAGAATTATAATGGCTGAGTATTTGATCCTTCACACATTAAAAAAATACAAAGGATAAATAAATAAAAAACAGATTTGAAAAAAGAAAAGGCTCAAGAAAGAAAAAGAGTGAAAGTGTAAGAAAGAAAGAGGAAAAGAAGGAAAACTGAAAAAGAATGACTTCCAACTTTCTTTGGTACAGATATAAGTAAAAAGATATATCGAACTCTTACTCTAAGATTAACATTTGTCTATATTATTTCCATAATCCCTTATTTAATCATCAAAGCCCAATTCACAAAAAGTCCAGTAACGGTTCATATTGCTTTAATCACTATTTGTTAACAAAACCACAACTGATTTATTTAATTGCACCAAACTCTAAATAAAACAAGAATGGAAAATCCTAAACTCTAGTGTAGACTCATGTTTCTGAACTTTGGCAACTTTAAGGTGCATGAACTTCAATTCCCAGAATTCCCCAGGCAGCATGAAGTTTGCCCATCTTAAACTTGCCAACACTGAAAAACGCTGATCTACAGATAGGGATTTTTCCATTCCTCTTTTATTGGTTCCTACTTACTTATGAGCAATCATAATGCAAAATCCCCATTCCCAACTCACCCCACAGTAATGTTCATGCAAAATCTCCATTCCCAACTCCCCTAGAGCAGGGGTTTTGGGCCTGGAAGGCCTCCTGCACCACCCTGGAAGCCAAAATAGGGAGTGCAGGGGGACTCCTGGGAGAGGCAGGGTGGGGTGGGCGGGGCCAGCCAGAGGTGGGCTTAGCCGATTCTCCGAAGTGGGCAAAAAGTTAACAACCGGTTCGCTCAAACTGGTGTGAACTGGCTGAATCCCACCTCTGTATTTATGTATGTATAATATGTATAGTGTGATATGTCCCACATACATATGTACGTACATACATATATTTAAGCCGCCCTGAGTCTTCGGAGAGGGGCGGCATACAAATTGAATTAATAAATACATAATAAATAAATAAGGGTCACAGATTAAAGATTTAAGGATTTTTTTCTCAAATTACTATGCCTCTCATTTTCTTTCAAGTATACCAATTTTCATTGGGAAAAGGTTTGCTGTTCTTTTTTTTTCTTTCTGCCTTTACCCTCTTGCTTGCTCTTACTGCTATATTGGCAAGTTAACAAGATTTTGGATCAGTGCCCTCGCAAGATGAGGTGAAATTGTTATTTTGGTGGCTCCCTGAGATTTCTGCTAAGCTCTAAACCATTCAGTCAAATTAGCCACTGTAACTGCTTATTAAATAGACATTGACTTAATTTCCAAATGCTACCTTTTGCTTTTGAACATCTTTAGTAATTACAAAATAATTTTCAGGTATAGTTGGGTAATTGTTTCTTTTTACTGTTGCAGAAAGGGGAGAAAAACCTTTGAAAAATTCTATTAACTAACAGCATGGAACCGATTGGTTTAGTGCACTGTAGTGCTAGTAATGAAGGGAAAAAAAGTTAATTAAAAGGTGCTGGAGTGTATATTACAATAATTAGCTGGTCATGTTGCTTGTCTGTTATTCTACTTTGAATGTTGAAATGAATAGAAGAGGAATTTACATGAACATGAATATGATGATCTGACCATTCATCGAGCCATCTGACTAAAATTATCTATTGACAGAAGTGTCAAGTTTCTCTTTCTCGTTCTTCCCTAGCATGTTTCTCTTTTACTGGGGATGTTAAGACAGTGTTAAGAATCTAGTTCTTTGGATTCCAACTCTAATCTCTGATCATCAGTGATCTTAGCTACAGTTGATGTGTGAGCAAGTTTAGTAGTATGTGGAAACGCCAAAGGTTTCATAATTTTGTGGCTAAGGACTGCACCACAATTTTTTAGATTCCTAGCCAGTCTGTATTTTAAGACTGTTTTTATGCCTTTCTGATTTGTTCATTATTTACAAAAGCAAACTATAACTGATGTATTCTGAATCAAGGTTATGTTGACAACAGCATAACTGACTTCTACCATTCTACATTTGCTATCCTGGTCTAATCTTACTGTGGAAATAAATATAGATATAGTAGTTGTTGATACATAGCAAATAAATATGGGCAACTATAATTCAAAATAATGATACCCACGTTTCTCTCTGATACAGATATAAACATTAATTTTAAAATTGTTAAGCTAAAGTGATTTTAAAACAGTGTTATATTTCATGACTCTAATCATAAGACAATGAAATGGGGAAAGTTCAGAGGATAGCATTTATTCAATTTCTTCCCCATCCAATAGATGAGAAGAATTTTTTATTTGCTGACAATATTTAAATGTAGGAGGAAAACTGTGGAAATGGAAATGGAAAAGGAATAAGAAACTCAGTATATGACCAAGAATAACACATTCCAAATGTAGAGCATAACTGTACTTCCAAACATCTTCAAGGCAGATCTGGTTGAAACTAGAGGGTAAACAAAATATTTCACCCATCTATGATGTTTGAGAAAATAATTTTATACATATAAATAATGCCACATTAGGCAAAGCTGTGATTATACTATTAAGTCAAAGGCATAATCACACAGATGATTATAAAGCACAGCAATTATTCTATAAAAGTGTTGGATTTAAAATACATTAAAAGGTGGAAGAGTTTTTAAAATGTTTATCCAATTAAAATTACTATTTTCACTCATTTCCTATTTTAGAATGTTTTATCATTGTGCTGTTGAAATTTTATTTATCAGATTTTTAACTTGTTTTTATGACTTTAGAAGTAATTCAAGTTGGCAAAACCTACACAACACTCCTTCTTCCTCCTATTTTCCCCACAACAACCACCCTGTGAGATAAACTAAGCTGAGTAATTGATCTAAAGTCAGCCAACCAGTTTTCATGTCTAAAATGGGACTAGAACTCACCGTCTCCTGGTTTTTAGGCTAGCACCTTACCACAACGCCAAACTGGCTCTCATGACATTTCACGAAGGAGGACACAAAAGAGGGGCTTACAAACTGCACATGAGCCAGGTGATGTACAATAGCTTCCTTGATATAAAAGAGAATTTGACCCCCATTTTTGTAAAAGAATGGTGCCTTTCAGAAAATTCAAAAGATTTGAATGTTGATCCCATGACAGACCTCATAAATATGATCATATGAAAGACACAGTTCATATTGCACAGTGTGAATCTGTCCTTATGGCCGATATTACCATAACTATTTATTTATTTGCACAGAATTATACATACAGAACCATACTACTCAGGTGAATGAACATGGGAGGATTTTTCTCTACCTAAAATGCTGCAGCTGTTAGTGTTTTTAAAAGACTGATAGAATGATTGATAGAATGGCAGGCAATTTATTCAAACATTTTCTGCTTCAGCACCTAGAAGCACCCTTCTTATAATCACGAAAGCCAATTTTATGGTGTGTTGTCTTGCGAAACAAGATGGCTAATATAGAAATCTCCATCAAGGCTATGCTAGAGAAGTTTATGAAATTACCGTAGATGTTGTGTGGTTACCTTGATTCCAGCATAGAATCCATCGCTTTCCTCAGGGAGAAAGTGGTGATCAGGTGAGTCCCACCTAAAAGCTGTGACAGTGCAAGAGACCTGCAATAGATAAGCCAAACTATTTCAAAACCTTTTTGCCTCTTTTTTTTTTAAATGACAAGCTTATGAAAAACGATGGAAAATGTACTAAGCGATTGTTAGATTACACTTTATAAAAACTTATTTTGCTGCTCTTTGTCCTTGGCAATTGTTAGACCTCCTTCACAAAAAGGTAGCCTTCCCTGTCAAATTGAGAATGGGCCCAGGGAGGGGGGGGAGCTCCAAGCACTAAAAACTAACAGTGAAATTTGTTCAAATAAATATCTCTATGTGGCTTTTAAAGTTGCTAAAAGCTGTTGCCAAGCCAGTTCAAAATGCACAGTATGCTCAAGAAGTCTTTGACCTTCAGAACTAGGACATCTGCCAATATGTGTAAGACTGGGCGAAACAGTTGTGCAGCATTTTTTAAGCTGCAGCCCTGCTTTATCATTTTAAGCATATGGTAACAAAACAAAAAAGTCTTACAATATCAGCTATATTTCCTCACCCCCACATCCCTGATGCTTCTGTGCATTGCTTTTCAGAAGAATAGAACTGGAGAGCACAATGCTATGGGGCTCAGATATAGGGAATGGATTATTTAGTAGTGGAATCAATAAAGAGAGATGACATTTTCAAGGCCATCTATTCCCATATAATTGCCCTATGCTCTTGGGTCATCAATGGGGCACCTTTTGCAGGTGCTGCTACAGATAGGCTGTATTTCTGAACAAATATTACCATTGGAGCTAAGATTGTTATAGTTTATGAGATTTTCTTTTTTTTTAGCCCAGGTTTTGTTAGAGGTTTTATGCTGCTGATTTAGTGATTGCTGGATTGATCATGTTATTTTTCGATGCTTCCAAATTGTCTAGAATTGCCAAAGCTGAACAGGACTATCTATGTTATTATTTTTCTTTTAAACTGCCCTTTTGTGCCACATTTGGATCAATAAATGGGTGATCTGAGTAGTCATCAAGGACCTACTGGACTTGATTTCAAACTTTAGATGTAACATCTTTGAATTATAATGTTTTTGGATAAATGGCAAACCAATTGCAAAAAATCTATAACTCAAAGTGCAAAGATTTAAGTATCTTTGAGGTAAGCATCTATATAGAGTGGTCTTTTGGTCCTGGGGAGGAAAAAGCCAATCATGTATATATTTTTAACACTAGTGTACCAGGAATACAGATCAATGTTGTACATAAAATAATACATGGCCTTTTCAAAAATGCACTGCCTTCTTTCTTGGACTATGTCTTTATAGTGCAAGTTAAACTTTGATCATTAGAAGCTACTTGCCTCATAAATCAATACAGTTCAAGCTAATTATATATGCTGGAATAATAGCAATACATGTCTTCTCTCCAATGAGGCAACAAAGCACCTGTTCTCCCCAATTTCTCTCCCAAAATTTAGCCAATACACCTTTCTTGGAAAAAAAATCTGTTCACATTCACTAATTGAAGGCTTTTTTCTTTTGTAAAACAAGGTCAAAATTGGCTATTCAGGAGATGAATGATTATTAGAATCTGATGTTCCTGGAACTTGCTCCTTAGAAACCAAATCTGATTCCTTGCTTATTCATCATTAAGTGATGCAGTTATTAAGTGACATCCGATTTTATAATCTTTTTTGCGGCCATTAAGCAAATCACTGTGGTTGTTAAAAGGGGCATCACATGATTGCCATTTGTGACCTCCCCTGTCAGTTTTCCCTTTGACATTGTTCGTTGGAAGCTGACTGGGGGGTGGGGGGGAATCACAAATAGTGATCGCGTGATCCAAGGGTGCTGCAACCATTGAAAATATATGCCCATTGCCAAATGCCTAAATTATGATCATATGACTACACCGATGCTACGATGGTCATAAATGCAACACTTGATTATAAGTCACTTTTTCAGCACTGTTGTAACTTTGAACTGATGACTACCTGTAACAGAGTTCTCTAGCATCTCTTATTTGTTGCTGTAGAAATTATTAAATTATTTTCTTTTTACAAATTCTCAGCAAAAGTCTTGGCTGTCTGGCAAATTCTGGAAATTGAAATTTATACCTCTAAAAGCTGCACAGACTGTGAAATACTGCATTGCATTGTATTTCTATGTGTGAAGTTTCTTCCTTTGTAAATTTAGATCTCCTCCTCCTCCTCCTCCTCACAATAGGCAGACATACATTTTAGTCACTGGTCTGTAGTCTTGAGAATGTGCCACACAATTATTGGGATATGTTTTCTCACAAGCTTCTTGCCTTTAGCTAAATATTGGTTCCTAGCAGGGGTGGGTTCTACTTACCTTTACTACCGGTTCGCAACGGGGCCACATGCGCTTGCTCGTTTCACTCATATGCATGCGTGCTCTTCTGCGCGTGCGCAGAAGCGTTTTGATGATGTCAAGGTCAGTGGGCAGAGCCTCCCGCCAGTTTTACTACTGGTTCTATAGAACTGGTGCGAACCGGGGGCAACCCACCACTGGTTCCTAGTGTTTAACTAAGCAATCATAGGTTTTCCCCCTCCTTTTATCATTTCCAAAGAAAGGGGTGAAATGGAAAAGATACAGGCTATGTAAAGACAACTTTGACTATGGGAATGAATATTTTATTCCTAAAGCTTCTCAATAAAATAAAACCCTTCTTATCCCTAAATTTTAAAAGTATTAGAAGGGATTGATTTATTTAAGCTAAACGTATCATGGAAATCCAGAACCATGGCATTCCCTACTGAGATGTGGAGAAGAAAGACACCTATAGACATCAGGAGGATTGTTTTGTGATGGAGTTTGAGAAATTGGCAATGTGCGCAGATTTAATTTTTCTGTGTGTGCCTTGTTGTACAGTCGTGATAGAAAAAAATAGAATTGCATTCTTATTAGGGTGGTGGTGGGTTGGTTTTTTTTTTTTTTGGCAGCAATCCCTTGGATATAAATTTGACAAGTTCACATGATTTGTTAGAATAATAATTGGAAAAGGCAGTTTAAGCCATTAAGCCCAACTGTCAGGACAAGAATCTAAACTAAGTATCCATAACATATATCGTAGATATTCAGTCTCTGCATGCTGCATGGAGGAGTGTGCTATGCTTGTGTTGTGTCTTGTGTTTTTAAATTGGCTGTACACCGCCCTGAGTCCTTCGGGAGAAGGACGGTATAGAAATAAAATTATTATTATTATTATTATTATTATTATTATTATTATTATTATTATTGTTGTTGTTGTTGTTGTTGTTGTTGTTGTTGTTGTTAATGAAGGTTCCCTCCACCTCGAACATTCAAGTTGGAATCTGTCTCCCAAGTTTCCATGTCCGCCATTCTGACATGGAACTTTAATTCTGACATTGTGATATAGATTGCTTGGAGTCCTCTCTCTTTTCTCTTCAAAGGCAAATACTTCTAGTTCCTTCAGGCTCTCCTTATAGCACTTGGTTTCTATTCCTTTAATTATTGTTGTTCTTCATAGATATACATGGGAACTGATAGAGGAACATATGATGGGAAAACGAGCATAGAAAATTATAGGAGAAAGTGAATAAGAATCTGGTTCTTGTCTAATTTTCTGTCTGTCACATACAGAGTTCTATATGGGAGAGGCTGACCCATTTGCGAATTATATACTTGCCAGAGGTGAAATTCAGCAGGTTCTGACAGGTTCTGGAGAGCCAGTAGAGGAAATCTTGAGTAGTTCGGAGAACCAGCAAATGCCACCTCTGGCTGGCCCCAGAGTGGGGTGGGAATGGAGTTTTTGCAATATCCTTCCTTCAGGAGTAGGGAGGGAATGGGGATTTTGCACTATCCTTCCCCCAGGAGTGGGGAAGAAATGGGGATTTTGCAGTATCCTTCCGTGGAGTGGGGTGGAAATGGAGATTTTGCAGTATCCTTCCCCTGCCACGCCCACCAAGCCACGCCCACAGAACTGGTAGTAAAAAAATTTGAATTTCACCACTGATCCTTGCCCTCTTTCGATGATGTAGGGCCATAAAGGCACAGAGTTCTGAATGCTTGGGGCTTATGTTTCCCGTCCTTTAAATATTATTTCTTGATCCAGTCATCTTGTGTGTGTGTGTGTGTGGGTGTGTGTGTTGTAGGGGAGAGAATAACATTGTACTCCATGTTATGTAATTTCTGTTATTGAAAAGAACAAATAAAGTTTATCAGAGGAGGGAGAGGGATTTTTTTAGCACAATAAGATTCAGACGGAGCTATCTATTACAATTACAGCAAGTCAAAATAATTTGAATTGGAAATTATGCTTGATTCAGAGAGGGTAGTTTCAAGATTTGTTTTCATTCAAGCAATCCACATCCCTTGTTGTGGAATTTCACTGTGAAAATTAATTTAAAAAATCCAGAACTCTTTCTGAAAGCAATATTTAATACATCAAGAATCATTGCACTGCATTTAACAGAATTAAAAGTGTGGGGAAAAGAAATCTCTGTCTCTCTTTTCTTTTATACTGGAAGGATCTCAAATAATTACCTTTCTTTCTAATCTATCCACAGAAATAAATCACTATGGAATTTTGTACAAGGAGTTGTTATTTTTCAGTATTTGGGGGGAAGAGTTGCCACTATAATTGAAAATATTGTAACTCTTCAACAAGATGGCCAATGCTAATAACAAACTAAAAGGCAATTTTACATAAGCCTTTTCTAAAGTGCATGCCATTTCATGTCATGAATTTCCAAACTGCTGTCCAGAGCAAAAATGACCATTATTTAATGGCACATCCTGCTTTCTTAGCATTACCCACTGCGCACATACTACCAGCTGCAATTTACAGATGGCTGTCCCTCCAGGTATAGAATGACCTCTGTCAATATCATCTAAATAGATCTTGGGATTGCTACAATTTCAAATCAGATAGAATGGGCTATCTTGAGCATTTACCCAAGGGGAAAAAAGCATATTACAGATTTATTTATTAAAGCTGCAGTAGTTTTGCTAGCATTTGGCTGTCAGCTGAGCTCAAATAGCATAACTGTACAAAGTTGTGACTTTTCTAAACATGATGGGGAAATGGTATTGGCTATTTACTAGATATGCTAATAAAAGTTCAAATTCTGTGGACTAGTCAAGCTCAATGACTCTGGTTAAGGGATGAAGATCTTGATGGAAACTTGATATTGGGTGTGAACAATATTACTAATGAAAATTTAAATGAATGGAAAGTAGTTCAGATGTGTCAATCATATGGGAACAGAATGCTAATTTTTAAGATCCCAGTCTTTTTTTGGCAGCTTTTGAGAAATAAGTAGCATGGAAAAGTACGGAGGTACTTGAAAATTATATTGAATAAATGCAAAATTGGCTGTTACAATTAGTGACTCCAGATACCTTCATTTGCAACACCCACCATAGAAAGGCTGATTTGGATGGATCTTAATCTTAGCTGGCCACTAAAGAAGGTCAAGTAGATGTCACAAAACCCTGTCAATTCTGATATTACATCAATCATATTTTAGTATAGTTGGTAGAAATTAAAAGGCAGCAAAAAAAAACATGCTTCATTGTGTACACATGTACATCTTGCTTTAGTTTATAGCATTAAATCACTGTGCATGCAATATTTTGTAAGCCTTAACAAAAATTGATAAAATGCCAGTTTTATCTCAAAATTGTAGAAAGGGAATGATAGGCGAAAGGAGGCCTTGCCTATCAGGATATAAGCAAGATTCCAATTTATTTATGAACTACCCTGCTAAGAAAACTGAGTGTCAGCATACTTAAATATTTGGATTTTAGTTTGCTAAATCTTTTTAATTCATTAAACAGAGTAAGTGACAGAATACGTGGCATGTCACCTCAAGTGTGAATAAGGGACAATTAAGAACTGAGACAGGGCTTTCAAATCTTTTCCTCAAATGAAAAATCTGAAGAAAGAATGATAGACTAGCAGTGGAATAGGAGGCCAATTTTAGTTTTTCAAGCAGAAACCAAGGCCAAAATTATATGAGGCTTTGAACATATCATCCTATCTTTTAGGAGTTTCTTTTATTTCTTATCTGTAGTGATTTGAGAACAAAGAACTATCTGTGCTATATATTGTGGTCCACTTTGGACATCTGCTGTTATTTGTAGGAATATGGGATTCATAACTTTTTAGTTCTTTCTATTATTGGCAGATTCTTAATAATGTTATATAATTAACTATGTGTTACATCATTGACTCATTTATGTGAGTTCATGAAAACAAAATTTTGGAGATCCACTTCTGGAATCAAGATGGTTCTCTGAAGTTATGGTCAAGAAATCCAGTGTTTTTATTAAGTTTTAATTTCACTTAAATACAAAGAATTGTGCTGTAGGGATTTGATTCAGGTTAACCAAACTGCTTTTTGGTTATTACAGTGCTCTAAGAGGGTAGAGTTGTTTTTATTCAACACGAACCGCAGTGGCGCAGTGGTTAGAGTGCAGTATTGCAGGCTGCAGGCTACTTCTGCTGACTGCCAGCTTCCTGCAATTTGGCGGTTCAAATCTCACCAGGCTCAAGGTTGACTCAGCCTTCCATCCTTCCAAGGTGGGTAAAATGAGGACCCAAATTGTTGGGGGCAATGTGCTGACTCTGTAAACTGCTTAGAGAGGGCTGTAAAGCACTGTGAAGTTGTATATAAGTCTAAGTGCTATTACTATATGATCTATTATTACTTATTTACCTGTTTTAAAATATGTAATGCTATGCAGTACAACAATTTTTTGGGGGGGATAAGTGAATTAGATTGCTTTATAGTTCTAAACTTAATAAAATGTACACAATCCTATTACATTAAAATGCATTGCTTCTTGAAGACCGTGTTTTACTTTTAGGCCAAATTCAGGCTCAAGATATGAGAGTTAATAAGAACTAAAAAAAAGAAAAAGCACTACAGAATGATTGTCTTTCTTGACCTTGTCTTCTGAGTTCAAGAAAGCTTTACCGTATCTCCCAATCTGAAATTAATTCCATCCATCTCCACGTAGGAGAAGGTCTGCACAGTTGTGTCATGATGAAGCCGTTCTTTCACATTGGATGTAGAAAGTCGTGACCAGATCACTGTATAGCCCATAGCCCAATTTGAAGTTGGACTGCTGAAAGTGCATTTTAAGTAGACCTGGGACCCCAAAAGCTCAGGTGTAACTACTGGATGTAAAGCTGGAATATGGAATTTCCCTAGGTGGGAAGAAAAGCAGACTGTTATATAATGCACAGGAGTTAAAAATCAATAATTCGACCCATTTAAAATTATAAATAAGTCAGTACTATAGAACTGAAAAAGACATGTAAAGCCCTATGCTTTCTGAATGAAAATTATACATTTATACTATGCTATATTATGAGAACTGAACAAACTTCCTGAATGAGAAGCGAAAGAAAGAAAGAAAGAAAGAAAGAAAGGAAGGAAGGAAGGAAGGAAGGAAGGAAGGAAGGAAGGAAGGAAGAAAAACTAGAAAGTCCAGTTGCCTTTAAAATACAAGCACCTTTGGGACAACTATGACCCAGATGAATCAGAACTTCTGTAGACATTTATACTATGCAATTTTTGCAGACAGGTGAAAACTGAAGAGTTGCAAGTTGTGACTAAACTGAGTGGTTCAAAGTAACAAGGTAGTAAGAAATGATTATCAAAGCATTTCCAATGATTGCAAACAAAAGAGAGGTTTGCTTAGTAATCCTTCAATATCAACAAGGGAGCACTAAAATAATATCCCTACTCAGTTTGATTCACAGTCATGTCCTCAAGGACAGGAAGTCAGCATACCTATAGGAGATTCTGAAATTGAAAAACTTCAGGCACTTCTAGTCATGGGATCCCATCTTCAACCTTTTGAATTATCTTAGCCCAAGGATGAAGACTGAAATTAAGTGGTAGCCCAAAGTTAGAGGAACATCTTTTTATAGCCTGTGGATTTTTTTCTGCCACAAGGATTCTGAGGTTTCAGAAATATTCATGAATTATTTACATTTAAAAACAGCAGAGAACAGGGATGTACTTAACAGCTCTCTTGGTCCTGACTAGATCTTAATTCCCAAACATCAAAGAGCCAGAAATCATAATATGTGAAAGTCCTTCAACTATGATAATAACCAAATCTGGAGGGATGTACAGTGAGGAAGTTTTTTTCTTTAAAAAAATCCTTCATCTCCAATCCAGTAAAGAAAGGTCTGTCCATTCAACTATATGACTGGATATAAAACATAGTTTTGGTGTTATTGGCATTCTTTGTTTTATTTTTAAAATATTTATTTATATAGCCCCTTGTTTAGAAAACAACTCTGGGTAACAAACCTTGTTTAGAAAACAACTCTGGGCAACAATTTTTTAAATGATAATTAAAAACACCCATATCAAACCTAATCAAAGATATTGGCAGCCAAGGGCACCAATCAATATACTGCAATGCCCCTTAGAGATAGACTCTACACTCTAGTTTAATGCCCAAATGTACAAGCTATTTGTACAGTACCTTACAAATAGCCCTGGCAATAGATAAACATTGGTTCCCAAGATTGCATATTTGCTACAAATAAGCATAATAATGAGCATAATAAACCAGGGTTTGCTTATTTAACTCTTAGTTGCATTCTCATCCTACATATGAGCTTTGGGTGGTCTCCTAATTTCCAAAAGTTTCTTTGGAAATATGCACGAAAGATCACCAATGTGAATGTGGAACAATGCTTTCATCGGTTCTGCAGATAAAAGATAATTCATATACTGTATGTAGTTCATGTTATTAAATTACCTTTAATGATGTCTTCTGATTCAGTTCTTTTGGGATCAAAAGAGTTGAGCTGTGATTCTTTAACAACGAAAGAAATAAATCAATTAACTTGGAATGGTGAAGTGGTGAAGCAAGTGCTAAGAGTTTTCTGATACTTCACTGGACATATTTTGACTTATCGATCTAATAGCTTTCATAGTTTTCACGGATTCTCAGGTAAGAAATATGTGCCTCAGCATTTCAGCTTTGAAATACAGAACTGGCTTGCTTCTTTTGGAGGTTTGAAATAAGTCTTTTCAGCATTATATATTTTGCAAAGAAACATAACCAGTTATGTGCAAATATATACAACTATTCAAAATCAATCCTGTCTGCCTATCTGTCTGTCTACCCCTCCATCCATCTTTCAAATATTGGGAGTAAAATGGGACAACTCACCATGGCCAATGCACTGCAGCCAACTTGCCACTGTCAACTCACTGCAGGACAATTCAACAATTCAATTTAACAATTTAAAATAATTTAAAAAAATAATTTTTGTTATTCACATTTCATTTTGTTCTTCCTTTTGCATCCTTTCTTTGTTATTATGTAACTCTTGTCCTGAGGTGAGTTGGCTGTGGCAAGGTGACTTGGATACAGTGAGTTGTCCTGCAGTGACTTGGCTACAGTTAGTTGGCCATGGTGAATTGGCCGCAGCAAGTTGTCATAGACCCTACTGACAGATAGATCTGGTCTCAGTGATTTGTTCCTTAATTACATATACATATACATATACATATACATATACATATACATATACATATACATATACATATACATATACATGTTATTATTATTAAATGAACTGCCCCTGAAGAACATTTGAAAAAATGAAGACAACACCAAAACAAACAAATTCAAAAATAATTTTGACAGTTTTTTTTATATGCATTTTTCATCATATTTTTAAAAATGTACTATGTTTATTTTGTCTCCAGGCCCAATTCAAACTTCTGGTTCTTACCACAAAAATCTAAATTACATCTTCTAATATCAAGAAAGTTTATATCGATATAAATACAGGAAAATATTTTGTGTAGCAACATCTCAATTATCTGATAATTTGAATAGAGAGATTAAGCCTGTCAAAGGTTCATTTAATGCAGATAGTAAAAACATTTTAAAAACTATTTTGTCTTTTAATTATTTTATTAGCTCCACTCTCCTAGAAATTTTAAAGTGTTCTTGGGGTATTTTATGTGACTCTTTGATTATAACCTGTTTTTATGTTTGTTATAAATACACTTTGGGACTACAGATAAGATTTAAAACTCAGCTTCTAATACTGAAATTAATAAAGAAATGTTAACATGAAGTTTAATAGTATTGAGATCAGTGAGCTTATTAAAGTTAATATTGTGCCATCCATGTGCTTTGCAAAATGCAAAAATGTTTCTTGCCTTCTTACAATATAAAATATGATGCAAAAAAGTCAGAAGAAGAAGGATAAGAGATAATCATGCCACAAAGTTAAACTGAGTTACAGAAGGCATGAAAGTCAGGAGATTATGCCAAAATCATGACAGAAAAGGGCATTTTTGAGGAGACAACTGAATTGAAATAGAAGTGGCATCACTCAAGTGTTCTGAGAGGCAGTTTCAAGCACAAAGGGCAATCAAGGAGAAAAAAAAGTTATTTGAGTAGACAAGAAACTAAATGCATTTATAAATATTATACTGTAGTTGTCCACAACAAGAAGGTAGCAGAGATTTACCAATAGACTGTTTTTGATGATGACTGGGCATGGAATAAAAAGCTACAGTATCTACCACAACTGGATTTTCTTTGTGTGGATTCCTTGAGATTTAAGTTGTCCTGCAAAATCATATTGCTACTGATTCTTCTAAGAAAGACTTCTTTGTATTATTCTATAGACGTGATGGATTTCAAATGGTGTAACAGACTCAGTGAGGAATTGATATTTGCAATTCCTTTTCTTTCTTAAATACAAAATAGAGTATTTTTTCTGTGCAGGGGTAGAAATTTCTGATCAAAGTAATTTAAAAAAAAAAAAGCCAGCCAAAAGTTATTGTCTTTTGGCCTCCCTTAGAACAGCTTTCAAAGGAACTTGTTCATTTCCAACAACTATTTCAGTGTTAAATCCCATTTAGTAACACACAGAATAAAAAATGTTCAAATACATTATTTTCACTCTTTAAGCCAAACGTGGAAACAAAACAAAACAAACAAACAAAAAATGTGCAAAAAGTGTAACTGCAGTAAATTTTCCTTGGTAACACATTGCAGGTTAAAATCTGCCAAAATTATAACAACCATTCTATAAAAACAATTTGGGCACAGTATACATCTTACAAAAAGCAATGCTTGACTTGCTAGGTCACCAAGATATGTATGGCAATAACATTGTGTAGCAAAAGGAATATATAGAATACAGTATAGGCCATAAATGTGGAGTTCATGAAACTCACCTTCTGCACAATAGCCCATGCATCCTTGAGTAGGTTGCAGGAGATAAACAAGGAACTCCCCACAGTGTCTAACTGAGATGGGGATTTGAAAGAGGCAACAGTCTTTGGTGCTTCCAGAAAAGAATTGCCAGGTTCCACAGGCAGTCAGTGCCTTTCTCTCTCCAGGACGTGGGAGAGAATCTGATTGAAGGGATAGCCAGATTGGGGCTTGGGTTCCACATTTGTTCATCTGTGGGAAAAAAAGAGAGTATTTAAAATTCAGGAGTAGAGCACTTAAACCAAGGCTGTCAAAGTCAAGGCCCATAGGCTGGATCAGGCCCGCAGGGCGCTTAGATCTGGCCTGCGGGGCCACCCTGGAAGCAGCAAAGGACCGGCCCATGGTGCCTCTGTCAGTGAAAATCTTCGCTTTCGGCTGGGACAGCTTCCCGAGCTCCATTTTCACTGGCAGAGGGTTACAGGAGGCCGTCCCAGCCAAAAGCGGAGATTGGGAGCCCGTGTTTGCTGGCAGAGCACTCAGGCCATCACAGGCAGCCCTGACACGAGTGATGTCAAGCTGGCCATGCCCATCCTGGCCACGCCCCACCCCGAGGTCAAACACAACCCTGATGTGGCCCTCAATGAAATCAAGTTTGACACGCCTGACTTAAACAATATACTTCTTCCAATGAGTTGTGGAAGCAGGCAAGACAGACGGGACTGAGCCCCAAATGACATTATCTTGTCAGGTCTGACCAGTGATTCAGCTTTTGCCAATTATGTTCGAGCAAAAATTGGACCTTTGGTGGTCTATCTCTAGCAACTTCTGAATAGAATTCTGCTTAGGAGCCCAGTTAAGTCAGTTAACAATGAAAAGACTCTGTTTCTCAAAGCAAATCATTGCTTTGAGAAACAGCAGCAGTGGTGGTATTCAGGTGGTTCTATCCGGTTCAGGCAAACTGGTAGCGGTGGCTGCAGGAGGCTCTGCCCACCTGCCCGGATGTCATCACGTCCCGTTTTGACCCTCTGCACATGCATTTGCGAACCAGTAGTGAAGGTAAGTGAATACCGCCCCTGAACAACAGCAACAACGTGAAGAAAGCTTTAATGCAGAAACACTTTTAAACTACAAAAAGGCACACTTATCAAGTCTGTTCTACATTGCTCTGACATTTCAACACTTTACTAGTGCAATATACAGTTGCCTTGACTATAACATTGTTTCAATGTTGTAAAACAGTATTATTTCTTTTAGTGAGCAAATATTACTTATCTTAAATTAGACACTAAAAATTCTGTATATAAAATATCGTAAATGATTCGAGCCATACTCTAGAGACAACACTAAATTAACTTTAAACGCTTTGCAGCTTGTTACCATAATGGAAGATGGTTACTGCACTAAGTTTTTGCCTGTATTATTTATAGAACACATTTACTCTTATTTTCTGCCTTTTAAAATGGTAATCGTGGTTTCTATGATCCCAGATTAACCACCCTGTCCTTTATTCATTTAGCTCCTCGTCAATACCAGAATCAATGATAAAATATTATAAAAGATTAATGTGATTTCTCAATTGTTTGCTATGGGCAGGGGCAACTTCTCAGGGAAGATTTGAGAAAAATAGATTAAATTTTTTTTCTCAGATAATCACTCTTACTGTACCATTCTCCCTATAAATAGCTATGACTGATATTGGTTAAAGATTTTGCCTCAGATACTGAAAGTTTCTGCAACAGCTAGAAACTTGCACTTTTTGGAAGAAAAGGCTAAGAATCCAATATTAAGATTATATAAGGTAATAACATAATCCATACAGCCATGGTGGTATAGTGGTTAGAATGCAGTACTGAAGATTACTTTTGCTGACTGCCACTGACTGCAATTTGGCAGTTCGAATCTCACCAGGCTCAAGGTTGATTCAGTCTTCCATCCTTCCGAGGTGGCTAAAATGAAGACCCAGATTGTTGGGGGCAATAGGCTGACTCTGTAAACTGCTTACAGAGAGCTGTAAAAGCACTGTGAAGCGGTATATAAGTCTAAGTGCTATTGCTATTGCTAATAATGCAAATATATATGGAATTTCGTAGCTAGAATTTAGCCTGGTCAACTGAACACTGTGGCAACTCTGATTTCTGAATATAGAATGCTTCCAATACTAAGAGATGATGTAATTTGTACTAGGTTATTCATTCTAGATTGTAAATGTTTTTCTCTGCTTGATCTGTTCTCAGAACTCTGCCAATTATTATTTATTTGTATGACCAGGATTGGACAGGCTACGTTCAAATCTATCCTCAGTTACAGTAGCAGTTTGGGTGACTCTGGGCTTCATTCTTCATTCTTTCAGCCCAGCTTACTTCACAGAATTGTTGCGTGGAGAAAAAAATGTGTGCTGTCTTGAGCTCCTGGAGAAAATGTGGGATATACAAGCCATGATTAAGTACCTCTTAGCTTACTATGATATGTGAATCCTGCCTCAGTGATGTTTCCTGTCTTCGCAAATGATACCTCATTGGAATCTACGCTGAAAGAAAGAAACTTTTTTGAAAGAAAAATGTTCTGTGAGATCCTCATGGCACATTTTTACCATGTCTATTTTACTGCTGTAATCAGTTACACTTGAGCAATGGCTGACTTTAGAGGCATTCAGTCTCTGTGAATAATAATCTTACGCTGGGGAGGAAGATACTGTTGTTTGGTGAACATTTCTTCTCAACAGATGTATCGAAAGTATCAGATGAGCTTGAAAAAAAATTGACTAATGGATTAAAAAAGAAAAGTAAAAAAGTCCTAGCACAAAGTGGTGTGTGTGTGTGTGTGTGTGTGTGTGCTTCTCTCAGCAAAATATACACATGAAAACAGATGTAAGTGGCTCATTTTCAGCTTTCAAAAACTGATGATTTCTAGAGTTAACAGTTATCACTGTAAGTGTAGATAAGTAAAATGATGCACAACTACAGTGAAACCACTGAATCTGAGTGCTGTGTAATGTTTGAAAAAAATATATAACAGAAGTTAGGTATCTTTCTCTTGCGCAATTTTGCCAGAGTTCTTAAGGAGTTGCAGCAGCTCTTTTGTAGCATTAAAGAAATGGCTCTTGTATATGACAACAGGGTTGGATTGGGATCTCCTGTAAGTTATGTTTGCTTCACTGTAGTTCTGTCAGCTAAAGTTTACATGGCATGCCAAGAAAGACACACATTAGCTCATACACACACACTGGAAGGCTCCCTGAGCACTGAGAATAACGAGTTAGGCAAAATAAATTAATATCAAACAATTTGACATGGTAAATTAATTTCTTGTTTGAAAAGCAAACCTTTTGTTTGAAGTTAATGATACAGTAATATTTATTTTAACAGGAAGTGGCAAATTGGGAATGTTGTTTAATATTCACAGAGTATTATTGTGGAAGAGGTTAAGGTCATGAAATATAAACCTTCTCACTATGCTGCATCCCTTTGCTCTTGGTGCTGCTGGTATTTAAATATGTCTTTTCTTTTTTGCATTTGTTCATATCAGTGTGAGGCTTTTCCTATGATAGCCCCTCCACTCAAAAATCCCCCATCCCTTTCTAGAGGGAGCAATGAGGTAACCCTGCTGTTGTCTGTTTTAATGCAATGCAGATAAAATGCATTATGTGCCAAAGGATCTTGAGGTGGTTTAGAATACAAAAATAATTAATTTAATTTAACAAATCATTCATATCCTCTGTATACATTTTCTTACAAGTTTGTATTTCCTAGTGCTGAGCGGTACAATGATCTATGGAGGGAAGGAGGGAGGAAAATGTTCCAGTCCTTGATTTGAACCAGTCTGATCTTTGCCTGCCATCTGACTACCAGTCTTCTCATGCCAGAAAAAATATTGTGTACTTCTGGCCCAGAAAATGCTGTATTGCATAGTTCCGTGATGGTGAACCTATGGCACACGTGCCACAGGTGGCACGCAGCACCCTCTCTGTGGGCACGCGAGACGTTGCCCCAGTTCAGCTCTGCTGTGCATGTGCAGTGCCTCCCACTGGCCAGCTGGTCATCAGGTCTCTGCCGCGCATGCACGGGGGATGGGACGCTTGTAGTGGGGGCCACGCGTGCATGCTCATGGGGATGCTGCAAAGGTCGTAACTGTGTCAAACGGTCATAAGTCACTTTTTTCCAGAGCCGTTGTAACATTGAATGGTCACTCAATGAACTGTTATAAGTCAAAGACTATCTGTAATAGCACCATTTTGTTTAACAAAGCCTTTGTTGGATCATTCTCCCTCCAGAGATCAGGAGGGTCTAACTCTGCTGGCCTATTGTGAAGCACTAAAGACCTCGTTCTGAACCTGGTATCCTAAATGTGCAAAAGCTGCATTGTATTAAAAAGATGTAATCCTAGCGATATTAGTGTTGTCGACTATGTACTTTTTCTTGACTGCTATGGATTTTAATTTTTGCATTTAATTTTTGCAACTGTGGAATTGTTGATATTCTGTTTGTTCTTGTTTGCCACCCAGAGTCATTTGTTGAGATGGATAGCTTTACAAATCAATTACATAAAGAATAAATTAGTTTCTAATGTTTGCGTAATTAGAAGCTATCATGTACAGTATTTAGGTAAAATTCAGGTAAAATATTTTTAATGAAATCAGAAATTCCATTGTCTAGCCTATATCTCACTGTTCATTTTCATATTTTGCTGATATTTCTTAATCTAAGCAGCACTACCGTGGGATAGGTATATACCACTCATAGTTAATCTATCCAATTATTTGATGGACAAATATCACATTATTTTTTAAAGTGGAAGAGCTGCCTATTTCAATTAAATGATAAACATACTAGCATTACTCTGCTATATTTTGAGTTATCTATTTTATCCTGTTTCTTCAGGATTTAGTTAATCAAATGACTTATAGGCTACCACTGATAGAGTATTCACAGATTGAGCATTCCTAGTTATATGGGGAGAAATCATGCTACTGGTTTGTTTATGGTCTGCGTAGATACTGTATGTTATTAAATATAACTAGAAGTTCATGTGTGAATCTCTCGCTTACATTTAATTGATACAGCAAGTTCTTCAGTATTATCCTAGCTGTTGGTTACAGGCTGTTTAGAGCCTCACATATTAAATGTTCCATTTAAATTAATTGAAAAGTAAACAATATCTCAGTCTTGGCATCACATGTCCTAACCGTATGACATATTCATTAAGGTATATTTCAATATATTTCATTCATTTAGTTTTCCAGTAAATGTTAGTAAATCATTACTATCATTATCATTTCAGCCATTGTCTATCCACTGAAGGATGAAGGCCTCTTCAGTATGCTTTCAACCAATATAGTCCTGAGCTTCCTTTTGCTAATTGGGTCCGCTATACTTGGTGATGTTGTCAATCCATCTTGTTTTTGTCTCTTTTGCGGACACTTTTTATCAAGTGGGATCCATTCTAGGACTGCCTTGGTCCACCTGCCATCAGTTCTTCTTGCTATGAGACCAGCCCATTTCCATTTCAATTCCTAATCCATATTAATTCATATTGAAATATGAGGTTGCAAAGCTTGAAAAGGCTTGAAAAATTACAGGAGATTTCACATCTGGAGTAGTTTGATTAATATAATTTAAATGAGATGTTATTAACTCTGCTGCATATATTTGGTTCAGCTCTAATGGATTTCCCCTTATTGAGCTAAGTAGCAATTAGCATCTAAAATATATACATTTTTCTCTGATAACACATAGATCCTAATGCCATGGCACTGCAAGGTATTTCTGAATGAAGAAAGATTCTTATTAGGAGAAGTGAAACAATAACTGCATTCACACTGCCTTTAATATAGTCACTGAAGAAGTTTCAGTAGACAAATGGATGATATGAAATATTTATAAACACAAAACAATCATAAATGCATCAAGTATGTGTGATGAGGAAGCTTGTATACATGTTCTTATGATGTATCTGAAATCATATGAAGGTCAGTTCATATATCTGTACATTTGTATATATAATATTCAAATATGTGGAAACCCATCTGGATCATGCGGCAGCCTATGTATCTTGCTGCAAAGAATCTTAACAGGAATCACACTTAGTAAGTATATAAAACACTTTTACTCACTAGCAGTGCTTCAGTTTACTAACAAAGTGGGGGGGGTTGGTATTATAGGGTTGCCAGGTGTCCACTATTTGAGCGGGCAGTCCGCTTTTTTCACATTACATTCGCTATTTTTTTTCACAAAATAGTGGACATTTTTTTTATTCAAAAGCTTTATGATGAAATGGTACGTAATCTAAAGCTGTACAGTCTAAGAGAATAAGGATAGGAGAATCGCGTTTTGTCTTTTTTTTCATAAGTTAGAATGAGACAAAGATCGAATATCCATTGAACTCGATTCTCCGAAAAAATTAATGATGAGATTAAAATAAAAATATATTATAAATTTATGTACAGTTCACATTTTTAAAATGTATTTTAGCTTGTGTTGACTGACCTAAAATGGCGTGTTAAAATGTTTGTAAGAAAATATTTAATTTAATTGTAATTTTTTTTTATTTTTTTACTACTTAACTCCCCCCACCCCCACCCCACTTGTCCGCTATTTTTTGGAAGCAGACCTGGCAACCCTAGTTGGTAATCATGGGGATATCTGATTAACTATACCTTGAATTTCATTACTCATGGGATATACACACAGTCAACAAATGGATAGTGTTAATCGGGCCATTTTGATCTTTTCTAGAAGGAAGCTATTATATTAAGTGTTAGATTAGAGTTTACATATTTTAAGGTCACAAGAGCTGCACAGATTGTTCCAAATTCAGAGTGACAATTTCAAAAGCTCACAGCAAATCATCCTACATTCCAGAATTTTTCTTCAGCTGATAGCAAAGAATGTTTGTTATTAACATTTTTAAATGTACACCAGGAAGTTAAGATGTGGGGGGCAGGCGGAGGGGGAGCGGTGGATAAGACTTTTTGTTTTAGGGATTTTTATTTTCATCAGGATGTCATGATATGATGATGATGATTTCAATCTTTATACCTCCAGACTCACTACTGTGAGATGGCTTTAAAATTGAATAATTTTTAAAACTAATTTACTTTGTGTAAAATGTAGCTCAATTTGTTGAACATACAGATTTTAAAATTATCACCAAAAGGCCAAGGAATTAAGAACACAAACATGAAAAAAATATTTTAAAGATATGGTTTTTAATTAAAACTATTTTTAAATAAGTTTTATTATTATTATTTTTTAATCAGAACTCCTGACTCAGTTTGAATCCTATTTTAAGTTGTAGTTTAAATGAAGAATTTTTTTATGTGAGGTGGTGCTTTGAATTAGAAAGTTATTATTTCTTTTGAATTACAAAGTTATTTATAAAAGAAGCAAAGCAATATATTATTTATTTTGAATCAAGAAGCTATCCATCAAAGAAGTAAACCTCAAAGGTGCTATAACCTTTAAGTCACTGATCAGAGCTGCTGAAGATTTTCCATCAAGCCCAATATATTTTGAATTACCTACTTTCCCAGCGGCAGATAATGCATTATTTAAAAATTTCCGGGCAAAAAAAATGAAAATAAAAAATAAGTTCTTGAATTGCTTTATACTTGCCACTTAATCCAGCCACATATTTCATATGGCTCAAAACATGTCAGCAACGGGTTTGAGCTATAATACAATAGAAATGTTGAACTATTAATAATATTTCAGCCTGTGAAATGCATTTTTTGAGCTTCAGAAAGCATGAGGTGAATTCATTTGCATATAAAAGGAACAAATTTGATTAAATCTGTATAAGTATATCAAGCTGTTCCCTGGATGAGGAAATTCCTTTGTGCTTCTAATCATACATTGTTCCCTTTTAATGTACCGAATTCATTAATTAAGATAGAAGAATGCATCTGAGGCAAGATGGTGCCAGTCAAGTACTCCAAAAAGCCTTCTCCAGTCTGGTGCCTATCAGTTGTTTGGGTCTGTCATTCCAGAAATCCTAAATATTATAGGAGAGGATTCTAGGAGTTGATGGGCATTTCTGTAGGGCTGTGAGCTCAAAATGTCTGGGGAGAACCTCAGTTTATAAAAAAGTTATTGAGAGAGCACATTTCATTCCATTTCATTTTATCTGACTTACTTCTATACACTTAGTTGGCATTTCTGCAGGCTTATTTTCAATCATGAAGCGGTACCACCCTTGTGGAAGTGAATGATCACAAATCATGTCCTGAATGGCTTTTTCCTGTAATTCCAGAGAATCAAAATGGATGCTGCGATAGGCGTGATGGAGAATACGATGTCCTTCTGGAAAGCATTCTGGAGCTAAGGGCAGAAAAGGAAGAAAATAGAAGTATCATAACTGTCAATAAAAATCAATACATCAGTTGTATCTATAACTTTACATTCACTTATTAAATCACAGCTCAGTATGAATGAATGTTTGCACAGAGCATTTTAATATCTGTCTGTAGACTGTTTCTAGAAGCTAAATGACATGTTACCTTTACTAAGCAGAATGAGCTGAATACAGTATATATATTTGGGCTTCCTGCATACAGTATATATAACTTGGGCTTCCTGCATGTTAGGCAGTTGAATTAATCTTCTGAGCCACAAGTTCTCCTCCCTTCATCAGCTTGAGCCAGGGGGAAAGATTAAATGTTTTTCTATCGAGACATCTGGTCTACCCCAACATGGGGAGGGGGCATTCTGCTCCCTTTCGCCTTTCAGCTCCAATCCAGGAGCCCTCAAGCAGTCGCATTCACTGTGGCTCAGAAGATTAATTCAACTGTCTAACATGCAGGAAGCCCAAGTTTGAATCCGAGTAAGGGTATGGCTAGCTGATGAAAGCTAAAAAGATTGAAATAGATCTATACTAGTCTCCCTTTATTTCTTTATCAGCAAAATATAAATTTGGTATAAAATGGTTTGTCGTGAATGCGACTGCTTGAAGGCTCCTGGATTGGAGCTGAAAGGCGAAAGGGAGCAGAATGCCCCTCCCCATGTCGGGGTAGACCAGGTGTCTCTATAGAAAAACACTATATATATATATTCTTTTTTTTCTTATTCCAAAATAGGGATGACTGAGAATTTCATTCAGTTTGATTTCCAATTTCCAACGGGTATATGCTTCTTCTTCTTTCAGGGACTAGAAAGAATAGGTGATTTATTTTCTTTTAATGAATATATGAATTGAAGGGGAGAAACAAAAATGAAAGATGAATACATCTTAGCAGCTTGGAGAGCTTGAATCTCGCACTTCAGTTGGAGCCACTCTGTAAATGTCTTTGACTTTGTAAAATATTTTTTATTCAGTGGAAAGGAAAATATAAATACCTTTCAAAGGCAAGAAAAATTCTACAAAATTTTCATTTATGTCTTGCCAGGAGTTTGAGCCTCCACAGTTATTAGGGTTCTCTATGAGTGTGACTCCACTTTCATTGTACAATAATTGCTCAAACTAATCTGGATTCCTATGAGACTATTCTGCTTGCAGGGCTCATGAGACATGTCAGCCATCACTTTCTATCACCTTGTATCAATAAAAAAAATCTCAAACCACTGAAAAATTCTAGAGGATGAACAAAACAAACAAATATTTTTCACAGGGCAATAAAACTTTGTAAATGGTAGATTCCAATGTAACGGGATAGTTAGATCTTGAACTAGGACCACTCTTTGTTACTATGTGACTTTTGGCCAGTCACTTTCTCTCAACTCAGCCTATATCACAGGACTGTTGTGGTGGGGGAAAATAGAAGGGAGCATTACACATGGTGCCTGGTGCAGGATCCATGCTGCCTTTAGCTCCTGAATGAAATATGCCATATAAATTTAAAGAATAAATATTAAATCATGTTCACGATGGCCTTTTATTCTTCTTTACCCTTATGGATTCGTAATCTTTCACCATTATATGTTGAAAATAGCAACTTTGATATTGCTGTTATGGATAGATAATAAACCTGTTTGCTACCTTTTTTTTTTTTTTTTAGCTTTGAGGTGCTCTAGATATAATGTAAGAGAAATGTGACATATAAAGATAATAAATGAACATTAATTCAATTGCGTTCTTGATGGTAAACAATCTCCTCCTCCTTCTCCTCCTCTCTCATTGATTCCTAAACATTAACCACTGTGTTAAACAAGATGATAGTCTCATGCTTCTGTTTTGGCATATTGTATGCCAAAATGTTGAGAAGGTCTTTTATAACATGCCAAACAGAAGCATGAGAATCTCATTGGATCTCTCCCCTTCCTTCTCCCTCCCTCTCCCTCTCTCTCCTGCCCCTTCATGGATGCCACTAGATTTAAACGCATTAGAATAGAATAGAATTCTTTATTGGCCAAGTGTGATTGGACACACAAGGAATTTGTCTTGGTGCATACGCTCTCAGTGTACATAAAAGAAAAGATACATTCGTCAAGAATCATAAGGTACAACATTTAATGATAGTCATAGGGAACAAATAAGCAAAAAATTAGAAGCAGCATCAGGTTCTTTTTTTAATCTGAAGGCCGCTCTGTTTTGTTTTGTTTTAAAGAAAAATAACTGACATAAGATAGACCAGGCTTGTTTTATATAAATTCTGAAAATTGCTATGGGACTGCTTTAAAATAGGCCTTTTGATGATCAAAGACAGGTCTAAGAAATGCTGATTTCAGGCGTATTTTCCAGAATGCAACACGAACACCACAAGGAGTTTTCTTGATATATTACATAAAAGAGAAAGAAAAAATGAGCTGTGAAAACAATGCATATGATTAAATATATATAGCTAATGCGAGACAGAAAGACTAAATCATACTTTTGCAGAGAATCGTGCTTCTTTAGGGGGTCCGCTTACTATAGCATTTGAAAGGGCACAGGAAGATGGAAGATAGAATCATAGAACAAACACACAGAGAAATAAAAGATTTCTCTGGTGCCTGAATTATTTGGAGGCTGAGAATTCACTTGAAATTTAAATCTAGAGTAGTCTGCAACACCACAAAACAGAATGCAAGCAGCACTCTCCTAAAGTGATCCAAACCAAATTAGGACCGTCTAGGAGGTTTCACAAATTATTGAATACTTTTGAACATTGCAAGAAGGCAAGTGCTACATCTGCTAAAAGCAACACTGATCTTTTTTTGTTTCGTTTTTTTCAGAAGACTGACTGTCTATAGTGGAATTTCACCAGTCAATCAACAGGGAGGGAGGGACAGACGGGTTGTGGAAGTCAGAGTACCAGTTTCTCTCACAACCAACAGGGAATTAAAGGACAAGATCAGGATCAGATGAAAAAGGACATTCCTACAGGAAACCCACTGAACCAATTTTGCCACACATTTGCCAATGTCAAATGCATTATTTCAGGTTACCTGTCCCAAGTGTATCAACCACATTTATTATTTCCATTTCTTCCTTGATTTTCCTTGTTTCTAGGTGATATTTCTTGATCAGATATTATTCTTGTTTTTCCATCTTCTTTTCTTTCATCTGTTCTAGGTTGCCTGCATCTTATTTTCAATTCTGATTTTCCATTTTGGTGGTGCACTGTTTGCTTTTTTCTTATTTATTGATTTTGCATCCCAAGTATTTAGCTATAACTGCAACCATGCTGTTCATCAGTTGATTTGTTATTATTATTGTTATTGATTTTTCAGTTGGGTATTCATGAATGTTTTCCATTCAAATACTAACCAGGTCCAACTTTGCTTGACTTATTGAGATCAACCAAGATTCAGCCAGGTCCTGTGAGGATGGAGATATTTTACTTCTTCATTGTCTACAACTGTCTTCTCCAAACTCTTCACATATAATTGAGTAAAACTTCCAACGTTTTTAGTCAGAATAATATATTTGGGTGGCTCCACCTTTGAGAACACTGGTTTATTGATCTAAGATGACAACGATATATATATATACTTTTTGAAGACGAGTTCTTAGGTGTGAATAGCTCTGTAATTTCCTGTTAGCCTTTTTTGCTCTATCATCAAACCATTTTAATCAAACCACCTAACCCAACCCAGCCTTGGTTGTTTTGTTTTTATATTATTCGATGAACAAAAACAACAAAAACTTTTTAGATGTTTTGGAATTTACTTCTATCTTGTGGATCATAACCTTGTGTAATAAAATTCATGGAATAGCTTCCACTCCATCCCATGCTGCCACCATAGAATGTAAGCTTCTGCCAATATTATGCTCCTTCAACTTCAAAATCAAAGAAGAATGCAATTGACATGGTTCCACTACCACTATAAACTCCCTTCCTCATTCTTATCTAAATGATTTATCATGGCTGAGGGAAGTACAGTTAAAAGAGGGAAAGTGTTGTGACCCCAACTCCCGAGCCTGTCCTAATAGAGGAAGAGGACTCAGAAGGTGATGGGGAGGAATTGATAAGGCCTCCCTCTCCAGGACCCTCCTCTCTGGCAATGTCTCAGGTTCCATCCAAAGGCCAAGAGGAACAGCCTGGGATATGCCAGGAGGAAAGCATATCGGAACAACAACAGATAGGGAGCGAGGATGATGAATCCTGGCTTGATCCCAGGCAGCGTCGGAGGGAGAAGCGTGCTCAGCAACAAAAGAGGCATGGGAGGGCCAGAGATTGAGCTGAGTCACTGAGCCACACCCCACAAGGAATAAAAGTGGGTGTGATTGCTCTTCAGGCTTTGTGACGGGCAACGTTAAAAACCTGAGAGTCACATCGCATTACCTGAAATCTGGCTTGTGCATATTTGGATTGGACCTTAGCTAACTCTTGCTTCGTGGATTACTTTTTGCTACTGAACCGGATTGAGGATAAACTCTCTCTTGCTTACTGTGAGTGAAAACTGACTAGGCAGGCATTTCGCAGTTTACTGCCAAAACTCTTATCTGCAAGGGATTCTAGTCTGATTGCATAATAAAATCTTGGCAGGCGTGCCTGGTCGTGTGTTTGCCTGTGTGGGGAAGGGGGACAGAACAGAAGGAGTTCCCTTTTACTATCTAATCTATATAAATTTATTCCTCCAGTCCATCAAGCATCCAACTAATAGTTGCTCTCTGCCACTTCTGTATAAAGACGTGGCTGCTTTTAAGTTGCAAATAAGTGCAATATTCATGTCCACAGGCACTCTGAAGCATGTTTTGGGAATCAGATCTGAAATACTGCATAGTCTTAATGTTTCCATAGGAACAACAGGGATCGCCATTAATTAATAAACAAATAGATTTCTAGCAGTTTTTCATCATAATAGAACATGTGTCCTTGTTGCCAACATGATTAGTATGTAACAAGCTGTTATGTGTTGAAAGGCATTATAATTATAACGGTATTACGGAAATGAAAAAG